GAACCCAGGGCCTTGCACGTGCTAGGCAAGCACTCTATCACTGAGCCACAACCCCAGCCCTAGGTTATTGATTTGGATGGCTTAACTTCTGTTAGGACAAAATTAATGTGTCTATCTTTTAAGTGTACCTACCAGTTGCTTCCAGTCACCTCTAAGGCCATGGTATATTCTGATGTGTGTGTCCTGTCCAGGAGGCTTTAGTTTGTGGAGAACTTAGTTATCTTAGCAAGATCTAAGGGAAAAGGTGTGTGATTAGGTAGCAGGGTTTTCCTGGTCCCTCCTGGGCTTTAGGGAATGTAGATAAAGGTGATCTTTTGGAAAGCACATTGCTACCTAACGTCTCAGCCTCGGTCTTGTGTCGAGCAGTCAGCCTTGCCTCTCTTGGTTTCTGTCTGTGAAAGCCTTGGCATCTGACTGTACTCTGGGCCCACCCTCCCTTTCCTTTCCCGAGATGTCATCGTGCTGCTGGCTTTGAGTTTTCACAGGGGTTCCCGTTTTCTAATAATTCCCACAACATGTGTGTTCTGATTTCAGCAGATTCAAAGTGCCATCACAGGCACACTCAGCCCACAGGGGATCGTGGTTCCTGCCTCCGCCCTGCAACAGGGAAATGTGACCATGGCGACGGTGGCAGGTAGGGCCATGGCAAAGCAGGTGCTTTCTACACGAGCTTGTGCAGAAAACAGGTCTATTGTATTAGAATGAGTATATAATTTTTAAATGTTTAATTTTGTTCTTGATTTCATAGTATTTTAACTAATGTTGGTTCCTGATTTGGTAGTGTTAGAATATAGAGCTTCTTGAATGCCTATTTCTTGTTAATTCTCCACRAATTCATTATGCAAAATGTGCTTTGGAAAGGAAAAAGGTTTTATATCAGAGTTGGAAACATAAGGAAAAACCCACTATGATTTCCGGATAAATAGTTTTTAATTGTGCTTGTAGCAGCACCTGGAAAATCCTAAGTTATAGCATGAATTGATGACAGTCAAGTGAAAATTTAGCCTTGATCTCAGTATTATTTRTAACAAAAGCATTACAGGAGGGTGCAGATTCCAGCGTTCCCTGGTATGTGTAGAATATTAGAAAAACAAAACATCATGAACATGAAAAGGGCATATAGAAAGAGAGCATTGTACTCACAATGGTCTTGTGGAAAACTTCACAATGCCATTGGTGGAAACCTCCGGAGCAGAGCTAGGATGACAATGTGTTATCGGCACCTTTGGCCAGGTCCTTAATACGTGCAGTTATAGGAGAAAGCAGAAAGCCACGGCCGCCCGGCAGAGGGAAAGGGTGCCTATCTGTTCCTCAGCCAGTGCTTCCCGACACTGCAGGACCCAAGGCACCTGAGCGTGGCCTGTCAGTGAACTTGGGTGATCATGTATAGTGACAAGTCAACTTGCAAAGTATTTTTGACTGTTTGAAATGATTACAACCTCCTCAAACTAAAGATTTTATTCCATAAGTTATATTCCATAAGCATATCAATAAAAATGTTTTAAATCCTTAAGACTTGAAAGTAGTTTAACTTTTAAATTTTCTTCTCCCTTTTGAGGAGGCACAGTGTACCAGCCTGTCACAGTCGTGACTCCACAAGGCCAAGTGGTCACACAGGCCTTGTCACCTGGGACAATTAGGATCCAGAACTCCCAGGTATGTCTGCCCTCCTCTGGAGGGTTTGGGGGTGGGTGCTGCCCTGTGTGCCGCCTGGTACAGCAGGCTGCGCTGGCCCTTCTGGGTGAGCATCATCCTCYTGGAGCCCTCTCTAGTTGGTCTGCGTGTCAGTGTTTCTTTTCATTCCTCATCTCCCTCAGAGGAAAATTTGCAGAACTCAGGAGAGTCTAAAGAAGCAAGAAAGTCATTCATGGCCCCGTGCCGAGGCAGGCTTGTGTGCAGGTTTACTTTGCATGTCTATCTGGGTCCGAGGCCCAGCAGGTGCATAAGAGCTGGGCCAGGTTTTCACCCCTGCAGGGCGTGGCCTACACCTCCAGCAGGGGACCTCCAGTAGGAGGCTGCGAGGCTGCTCATGTGGTCCCAAGCACAGGAGTTCTTCAGGCCCCTCTGTTGTACATCTTCAGTGTGTCTGATGAGAGATGGAGGGGGCTTCTCGGGTGGCTCTCAACCCCTGCTCTCCCAAGGCTCCTGCCTTCGAGTGTTCAGCTCCCAGAACACTGAAGGTGACTGTGCAAGCAGCSGGGTCAGAGCAGAGATGACTCTGACATAGTGTGACCTTGGGTCATGCTGCCTTTTCCTGTGCCTTTGTGGTAAAGTAAGGAGTTTAGATCTACTAGGCTGAAGTATCCCTTTAWATTCTGGCAATGCATACACATTTTTTACTTTGCTCAAGTTAGGTAATCAGAAAGACCAAGTTTAATTTACAGTTCTTATTTTAAGAGCATTGATTCTTTCTTTGTGTTAGATCTTTATCTATGACCTGCATGGACATTTTCACATCCTTGTTAAGAGCTATCTGTGTTAGGGATGTTAGTGTTTTACTGAATGCACAAAAGCAAATCYGAGCAGCCCTGGGCAGCACCCAGCAGTGTAGGCAGTCTGGGGCTGCCTTCTTGAACTTAACTGGTCTTGTTGGACAGAGTGGACTAGAGCCATAGGCCATGAGACAGGGACCACTGTGAGGCTGGGGGACTTCAGGGACCATCTAGGCTGAGGTGGCTKCCCTGGCCCAGACCTGCCTAGGGGAGGAGCTAGATCCCACTGGGGCTGCTCCTTGATTCTCTGGCCAGTCCTCTTTCCCTCTGGTTTTCTTTAAGATGTCTGTGACAATAAAACTGTGTCTGTTTGCAGAATAGTTTCCTAGGATCACATTATTATTTTTTTATTTGTAGATGGACACATTTCCTTTATTTTATGTGTTTTTATGTGGTGCTGAGGATCAAACCCAGTGCCTCACACATGCTAAGCGAGCGCACTATCGTTGAGCCCCAGCCCCCCTGGATCATATTATTTTTTAGAGGAAAACATTTTCAGGTCCAGTGCCTTGTCTTGTTATTTAAGAAGGATGTTTTCTATTTAACTGAGTTTTTTCAGCAACAGTTTAAATAGCAAACTGCACAGTGTGTAGTGCTTCAGTAGAACTCTCCCATCTTTCAGCTAGACGTTGGGGACTGTGACTCCCTTTTAGTCCCAGTTGCAGAGCCCCTCTGTCCATGACATTGCTTGTCCTGTACTTCTGCTTACACCCCCTTGTTAGTTTCCACCACTGTGACCAAATACCCAATGAGACCAACTTGAAGGAGGAAAGGTTTATTTTGGTTTGTGGTTTCAGAGATTTTGGTCCATTGTTTGGGYCCCTCACTGAGGGTTTGTGGTGAGGCAGAACATCATGGCAGGGAGGGCGTTGAAGAGCTCAGCTGCTTATCTCCTGGCACAGGAAGTACAGAGAGAGACAGGAAGGGGCTGAGGACATAGCATAGTCACAAAAGGCATGCCCCCAGGACCCACTTCCTTCAGCTGGGCCCCGCCATCTGCCAGGAGTCCATTTGGTTAGCAGTCCATCCATGGATTAATTCATTGATGAGCCTCCAGCCCCCATGATCCAGGCACTTCCCCCAAAGCCCCACCTCTCAACATGGCTGCACTGGGGACTGGTCTTCAACACCTTTGGAGTCTTTGGGTTGGGGGACATTCCACGTCAGAACTATAACATTCTAACCCTGACCCCAAGACTCATTCCTCTCATAATGCAGAATACATTTGATCCATCTCCAAGAGTCCCCAAGTTTCCAGAACAGTTCCAACATTTCTCAAAGTCCAAGTTTCAAATCTCCTCTAAGGCTTACAGCAACCTCTTAGCTGTGAACCCCTGTAAAAATCAAAAAGCCAGCTACATGCATCCAGTATACAATGTCACAGTGTAATCATCCTTATTTTGAAAAGTAGGAATAGAATACCTAGGAAACATCAGACCAAGGTAAGAGTGAAACCCAGCGGAACAAACATTAAATCCTCTAGTTCCATCCTGTAGCCAGAGCATGTGTTGGTGTAATATTCTCTCCAAAGGGCTTAGGGAGGCCTGCCCTGTGGCCTTCCCAGGGCAGTTCACATGCTCTCTCTCTTGAATTGGGTCTGCTCACTGCCTGCCGCTTTGCTTGACAGATGCTGCATGCTCTTGGCATTTTTTATCTTCTGGGGTCTCCATTGCAGCTCTGACTTTACTCTCATGGCTTTATGCACCATTCTCTCAGGAGCTTACRATAGGGATTCTTACCCTGCCACACATCACTTGTCCCCCAGACATCCCTTTAAAGTCTCAATGGAAGCCTCTGTGATCCCACAACTTGTATTTTATATGCCTGCAAATCCAGCACCACACGGGCAGTGCCAAAGACTGCTGCCAGTGAGAGCAATAGCCAGTCCCACTGGCCCGTAGCTGCAGTGGCCTCTGAGTGCCAGGATGGCTGAACAGGGGAGACAACTTCCTCTGTGGCGCTCTGAGAGCCGGATGCGTTGGATATCTCCTCTCAGAGGAAGGTCCTTCTGGTCACTTTATACTTTCATGTCCTTTAGCCTGCAGAGGTTGGGGCCTGGCCAATTCTGAAAGGCCTTCAAGGCCTCTTTCCTACAGGCTCTTGATTTTTCTTTATGGTACTAATGTCTTTAATGGCAACCACATCTTCCTTGGCTCCAATTTTTCATGGATTTTGTGGCTAAACTGTAAGTTTTCCACCTATTTCCACTCTGCTTCTTGTTCCTGATTCTTACTACAAACCTGGCTAAAAGCTGCCACCAATACATGTGCCACATCCTAGATGCTGTGCAGATGACCCTGTGACCCTCTTTCCACATTGGTGTCCACTGTCGTACAGGGCTCCCTGTCTGGGGCAGCCTGTCCAGGCTTAGGTGGTCTAACATCCTCTGCTCATGTGAGGAGCTGGTGATGTGCGGTGCTGGTCCCCAGGCGGGAGTCATCGCCGGGCAGGACATGCTGGCCTGTTGACACAGGGCCTAGTAGGCAGGCTGCAGTTGGATCTGTCCTTGGGTGGTGTGTTCACTGAAATCCTTCCATTGTGCTGCTCACAAGGACCCACCTAAGGACATGCTTGATAAAGGGAGGAGTGGTTGGGACGAGGTTGTTGTCCGCCCTCCCTTTCTACTGCAGGGTTATTTGCACAGCTCCACTTATCTGCAGGGTTGCCCCTTGCCCTCTCGGTTACTTTCAGTGTTTCTGTGGGTCGCAGCTCAGGCCATCCTGCCCCGTAGGTCACCTGCAAACCCTTTGTAGTTTCTTCTGCTGTTTTCTTCTGTTTCTAAGTAAAATCCTATCACGTAACATCCTTTCGAATGCCTGGCTTTGCCTTTCGTCCGGGAAGGGGCCWCATTCTCGTGCCCTCTTCCTCACCTGTCCTCGTGGTCTTTGGCATTGTCCGTGTGGTGCTGGATCTGCAGGCACATAAAATACACGGTTGCCCAAGTCCATGTCAGGGTCAGTGTTGTCAGGACTGGTCCTGCAGAGGTAAGTTGGTGGCCATGGTCACAGTACTGCCATGGTCACAGGCTGTTCTGGTTTGTCCCCTGAGTGTCTGGATCGGTGCTGCTAAGACCTCCCTGGAGCTCTGTGGCTGAGGGGCTGTCTCCCAGGCCTGGGCCTCTTCTGCCGTGTGGGCCATTGTGGCTCCCCCTCTGCTCAGCCCGCACATTCCTCTCAAGTGGTGCTTTGTGGCATCCCTCTCCCTTCTTATTGGTGGCCYGGAATCTCTCCTGGGCCGGGCAGTGGGGTGTTGTCGCTGTTCCCCTGCAGGAGGCACAGGTGGGAACAGGGGTTGTGTGTGGTAGCCCTGGGCTTCTCCTGCCTGAGGAACACTGGCTCAGGCTCGAAGGCCCCCTTAGCCTCTACCCCCTCTGCCTTCTCAGGCCAGGGGTCCCTGCCGAGCCGAGTCCCCACGTGGAGTGAGGATGTGGAGAACCACGTCCTGGAGACAGAGAAACCAGCTGCTTTCGCTCGGCACTCACAACATAGCAGTCGACACRGGAGGTTCTGGGAGCTCGCAGCAGGGGGTCCTCTCCCCGCCAGCAGGCAGTTGATGCCAGCTGGGCATCCTCTTGTTCAGTGTAGCTCGGACACAGTCTACCTAGATAGTGGCGTCAGACCCCACAGGTCCCCAAGGTGGCCAGTCACAGGCCCCATGTTGTGACCTAGGCTTCTGACCAAGMAGCTGTAGATTGGGGTGCCCATGACCCCTCCTCAGATTGAATCATGTTGAGTGGCTCCCAGAACTCKGGGGAAAACCTGGGGCTTATCAGGTTATCATAAAGGCCATGAGGAGGTGCCACAGATGAAGGCTTCCTGGTGCAGGCTGAGGGAGGGAGCAGCTCCCATGCCCTCTCGGGCACAGCCCCTTCCAGGAGCCTCCGTGCACTCGGCAACCTGGAAGGACGCTGAGCCCTGTCTTTGGGGTTTCACGCAGGCCTCATTCCATAGGCATAGTTGTTGAATTGTTGGCCACTGGCCATCAACTTCACCTTCTGCCCATGCCCTCCCCCATCCTGAAGTCCCCCGGGGGCTGCCAGCCAGCAGTCAGCTCACTAGTACACAGAAAGTCTTCACTCACCCCTTGGGAGATGCCAGGGAGGGAGATTGCATCACAACCCCACACAATCCCAGCATGAATCCTGTTAGAGCGCCCCATCACACAACCTGGAAGACCTCAGCTGTCTCTCCAGCTGAAGTCGTAGCGTAGCCTGCTTGCGTGTGTCATTGCTTGGTGTCTCTAACATCAGCTTTCAATTGTGCAAAAGCTTCAGTTACAGTTGAACCAAGACCTCAGCATCCTGCACCAAGATGATAGCTCATCCAAGAGCAAGAGAGGTGTCCTGCCAAAGCATGCCACCAGCGTGATGCGGTCCTGGCTCTTTCAGCACATAGGGGTAAGATCTGTGGGCTGGCGCTTGGGCAGCTCTCTGAAATCCTTCCTCCTGGCTGTGTGTCATGGAAAAATTCATGTATGTGTCTCGAAGGCCTGATCCTAAGTATCAGTGTTTTGTTGAGTGTCATAATGGGTTGAGCATAGGACAGGGGTTCCCAAACAAATGGCTCCAAGAAACTTAAAATACAGTAAGGATCTCATTGGTGGACAGGAAATCGAGTACACTTGGGCTGGTTATGTATGTGATGTAGAACTCAACCCACAAGAGGGACGGAGGTGAATGGGTGGAGAAGTGGGGTGAGAAGAGATGCCAGTAGGCCAAACCTCTGGAAGTGGCAGTGCTTTTATGTTGGATTTGGGAGGAAGGCAGACAAGGTTGAGGAGAAGAGTCTACTGACAAGGCAGCAGTGCAGGGGCTGGTGTACCTGGATGTGAGCTGACCCAGCAGGGAGCACAGCTTGTCCAGTGTTACGTGTGCACTCATTGCCTCCGAGTCCCCAGGACATCTCGGGAAGCACGGTGACACACCTGTCCAGCTGGCAACATAATGGGTTCTGGCCAGTCACCTACCCAGGGAGCAGCCCTGGTCGAGTGCCAGGGGCAGGAGTGATCAGGCTCGGCTCTCTGAGGAGAGTGCATGAGGGCCCCTGTCCTGTGAGGGGTGCATATGGCCAGCACACACAGGGAGGAGGGCCAGAGGCGGTGGACACCTGGGGAACAGCAGCAAGTGAGGAAGCGCGCCCTGGGGTCCCCACAGCCAGGGTGCGGGCTGGCRACAGCAGCCACACTCGGCAGAAGTGGGGGCTGGCACCTTCTTTCCTCAGCACTTGCCCTGCTCCTGGGAGCCATTAGGGTGATGTTTTGGCTTGCACTGCCTTTCCTGCCCCTTGCCCCGTTTCTATGGGACGCCTCCTCCCTTGAGCAGCAGTGGGTGCTCTTTGTTTATGGCTGTGTGCTCATGTTTTCTGCCTCATTTCTGTGTCATGAGCTTTTTAAAAAACAAAAAGAATGTTTGTCTCCACAACCTTGAACTCAGAGCCTTGAACTCATCTGTTGAATCAGCTTGAATTATCCTACTGATCAGTTTCCAGAAATAAGCTGGCTGCCGAGTGAGTCTGATGTGGATTCATTCCTACCTCAGTGTGCAGGGACTTTTGCAGATTTCATCAAGTGTTTAAAGTCAAACCACAACAAATACCCGTCTCCTACTGTGAGTGCCATTCACGCCTGGGGACCCAGTGGGATCTTTGCGTGCAATTTTAGAAGAGAGTCTTCTTGGTCTCCATGCACAGACACCTACTGGCGAGAAGCACCAAAGGAGAGATTTTTCTCCTTTGGTACTTATGGGAGTTCTGATATTTGCTCGGGTTTAACTCTGTTTTGTTTTGTCTAGTAAGTGGAGTGTTTCTATCATACCTAAGAGAGGGATGCTGCCTGCAGTGGACCCTCTCAGCCACAGCCCCAGATTTGGTTCTTCGTGGACAGAGTAGGTGTGTTAGTCAGCTTTCCCTCACTATAAAAGTATACCTGAGATAATCACCTTACAAAGAAGAAAAGGTTTATTCTGGCTCACAGATGCAGAGGTTCTGAGGCATGACTGAGCAGACCAACAGCTCTGGGCCTCTGGCAGGAGTGTTGGGTAGTAGACAAAGAATGACTGGCATAGCAAGTGCTCACTTCAGGGCCAGGAARCAAAGAGAAAGGGCAGGGGGCAGAGGCCCCACAAGCCCCATAACCTTGAGGTTCTCTCCCAGAGGTCCAAAGACCTGCCAGGAGGCCCCATGTCCTGAAGGTTGCACCAGTTCCCAGTAGCACCAGCCTGTGACACATGGCCTTTGTCAACATACAGACTGTGGTGCCAGGTCAGTCCAGCAGGACTGGGTCCTGAGAGAGCCTTAGATGACAGCACATCCCCAGTTCATTCTCCTGTCGCCTGCCATGTGATAGGCCCTGGAGCAGCCTGCTTCCACCCATCCACAGCTGAGGTGTGACAGTGTTTGTCTCAGAGGGTGCCGTGGGGCCTCCAGGAGTGGCAGGGGACGTGCAGGGTCATAGAAGTGTGTGTGTGTGTGTGTGTGCTGTGGCAGGGGTCTCATGGGCCCTACTGCCCACTCACCTCTTGTAGTGGATGTGGCTTATTATTCATAAACAGAGCCACGTGGGCTCCCTGCAGGTCTGTGATGGTGTCGTGTGCTCACCTGGGTGGCACAGCACACCTCACAGCAGGGCTGCTGCTCCTGCTGCCTCGTCCCCCCTGAGCACCTGAGGGCATGTGGCTGGCCATATCTCCGGGCACTGACCAGCGTCTGCAGCCCTGGATGTTCTTGAGCATCAAGGAGAAATGATTCATTCTGTCCTGGGTTATTTCCAAAAAAGTTATTTGTAAGTTAGGTTTTGGTTAAAAGCATTGTCAACACCATTTTTTTTAAGAGAGAGAATTTTTTTTTAATATTTATTTTTTTTAGTTTTCAGTGGGCACCAACATCTTTATTTTTATGTGGTGCTGAGGATCGAACCCAGCGCCCTGCGCATGCCAGGCGAGCGCATTACCACTTGAGCCACATCCCCAGCCCGACCATTTATTTTAATACTTACTTGCATGCTTGTATTTTGCCTAGAAAATCTTGGTTTCCTTTTCAAAAATCAAAGTCCATGGCAATCCTCTTTATTTTTAGCATCCTTACCCAACAGAAGATGAGAAGAAGCAGATTGCCGCTCAGACAAACTTGACACTACTCCAAGTCAACAACTGGTAAGACGCACTGCTTTCTGAAATTGCCTTTACCACCAGAGGGCCTTGKAAGGGCTGGCACTGGTAAATGGAAACTCTGCTGAACAAATGTGCGTGCTCTTAGCAGGCAGCAGTCTCCCAGCAGTGCTGCAATCAGTGGCTGGTACCTGGGAATAAGCCAGCCCAGATTTCAACCCTGCTTGTGATTGTCACTTCTCACTGTGAGTACATCCCACTCTCCTCATTAGAGGGTTTCTCTGTGATGTTGCTGCCCAGCCCTACGTTCCTTCAAAACTGGGATGTTTTAGTGGATGACTTCAATGGCAAGAGTGGTGACAGTGAGGTGTGCTAACCCTGGGGGACCCTCTGTTCTCCTTTTGGAAACTGCTGTCACTTTCCACCTGCAGCTTAAGGACACAGTCCCTCTGCTGTCTGTTTCTGCAGCTGTTCTACTGCRCAGCAGAGCCTAGAGCTGTCCCCAGATTCACACCCAGTGCAGGGTGGGATCTGTGTTTACGAAAGAAACATCCCTCCTGATCCTGGGGTCACAGTTGTGGTAGGCAGTGGGGTCCTGGCCACRTTTCCCTCCACAAGAGCTGCCACTCATGCCTCCAGGGCTTGCACAGGAGTGTCGCGCCACTCAGGGTCTAGTCAGTGGTCTCAATTTTATTGTTCAGCTGTAGGAAGCAAGGTCAGCTTTCTACATTTAATCCTATTGTAGCACAAGTGCTACTTTTTAAAAAGTAGCAAACACTACTATTTACTATTTACTTTATGCTGAAATGTAGACTTGTCTAAGTTCCAATATAAACAATTAAATTTTCCTGTTTATACAATCATAGATGTAGAGGAATGCGTTGGTGTTGCGTTAAATATTTCTGTTTTCTTGCGTTTGTGCTGTTGTTTTTTATTTGAATAGTGATGTAGAACAAACTGCTTGAGTCATTTCCTATGAAGTCTCTTAAACAGAGTGCTAACAAAACTGTGTAAAGGTTTCAAGTGTGTTGTTGCTAAGACACCTGTCACTCACCAAGCCTGTCTTAGTTATGTCCACGCAGGCGTGCTGGAGTGTCCCGTTGAGTCTTATCGCGGGTGACGGTGGGCGAATGATGCCAGAGGCACTGGGCCTGCCCTAGGGTGTTCCCTGCTGTGTGCTCCCTGCTTTCACCCATTTGTGACTTTCTCATGTCCCCCAACATGCTACTGTTGAGTTCCAGGACTGTCCTATTTAGAAGGCCTTATATTAGCTTTTAGTTTTCAAAATTAGTAACATGACTTTTTTAAATTCTAAAATTTCTAAAATCCTTTAATATTTGTAGCTATTTTTAGTTTCTGGGGCTTTCCTTTCCTTTTATTTACAAAACTTACATTTTGAATGGATGGAACATGGCCATTATTATCKCGGGCCTCTGCTAGTATCAGTATGAATAGGGAGACAGAAAGGAGGGCTGAGAAGCAACTGGGGGCCTTCCCGCTGAGGCAGGGTTCTAGGACCAAGTGGCACCCTTAGCCAGGTGCCACCCTCAAGTGCTGGCGATGCAGGGACCAGCCATTTCCCCGAGTGCAGTCCAGTCCTGGTGAGAGCATGTCCTCAGATCGTTTTGAGTGGTCCTCATCTTRAAGCCTCAAGTGGAGCAGCCTTGGAGCTGATGCTCTTCTGGCCTGGTGTTTTACAGATGAGGGCATCTAAAGAGGGAGGCTGAGTCGAAAGCAGTGCTTTAGTTTCTGTGACATCTGCGAATGGCTGCCCCTCGTCCACCAGGTCTAGCTCATAGAGGTGGCATGTGTGGATCTAGCAAGGGGTTAACTGCCTGTCCCTCATCCCACTGAAACGGAAGCTCATTTACTCTAGCGTTTCTGCGTTAGATTAGAGACACTGTGAACCTGAAGTGCTGGGGAGTGACATTGGCCACATTGTAATTGTGTGCATGTATGAATGCGTAACAACAAACCCCATCATTACGTTCAATTATAATGCACCAATAAAAAAAAGTGGGGAAAAAAGAAATAGTGTGCGAACCTGAATAGGTTCCGTTTAATTGGGCGTCAATGGTTTTCTTTCCATTGCAGCTGGCTCTGTAGCCAAGCAGCTCTGTGAGCACTGGGAGCAGCACCAGGAGGGGGTTCAGGAAGGGGGTCATCTGTCCTCCTGCGCCAGCAGCCCAGGAGGAGGAGTGGTTTGGGGCCAGCTCCTTCTTGYCCTCCCCTTCTCAGATTTAAAGACATAGCTTGGTGCATTTGAGGATGCAGTGGGAAGCAGCAGTCCTTTCTCAGTTGTACTTGGCTTGAGGCCAGGTCCACTGCCTGGCCACCTTGTAGTTTTTGCTGAAGTCTCAGTGGGAGTCCAGCTCGGCTGTGAGGTCTGAGTCTTACAGAGCAGCCAGAGTCCATCAGGGATCGCCCCCCTACCCTGCATAGGTAGGTATCCTGTCAGCTGGGGTTCAGGGTAGTTGATGAAGAGGGGCTCGTCATTTAGAGTCATTTAGAACGGGTCTTTTCGAGAAGATGAAGATCTGACCTCAGGCTTCTGTTTTATGGACCAGGACACTTCCCTGGAGGCTTGACTGAYGGCTGCCAGAGGCACCATGCTGGGAAGGGCAGGCAGATCAGGCTGCCTGGTAGCCTCCGGCGTAAGAAGATGTCAGGTCCCTACTGCAGCAGTCTTCCTCCTTAGAGAAAATAATGTCAATTATATCGGATTCACAGACACTAAGCAAAAAAACAAAAAAGTGGCCTTCTTATTTAAATGGTCCTCAAATAGTAATTTTTAAACCAGCAGGGGTTTTTTTTGTGTGTGTGGAGATTTAAATAATTAATATGCTTGTCTAACATGTTTATTCTAGTGGGAGATTAGGAGTCAGTCTTTTTGGCATGGTTCATAAAGCTGTGTTTGTTGTCAGGTGCAGAGGCCACACCTGTAATCCCAGTGACTTGGGAGGCTGAGGCAAGAGGATCAGAGATTCAAGGCCAGTCTGTGCAACATAGTGAGGCCCTAAGCAACTTAGATTCTGCCTCAAAATAAAAATATAAAAAGGGCTGGGGATGTAGCTGAGTGGTAAAGCAACCCGGGTTCAATCCCAGTACTCCCCACTCCCCAAAAGTACTTGTTGGTTCTGCACAGGTCTTTACAAAGGTCACTTTGGCTGAGTTTCATTTTGTCTACACACAGGTTCATCAATGCCAGAAGACGAATTCTCCAGCCAATGTTGGATTCCAGTTGTTCAGAGACCCCCAAAACAAAGAAAAAAACTGCTCAGAACAGGCCAGTCCAAAGGTTCTGGCCCGACTCCATCGCGTCGGGAGTGGCACAGCCAGCGCCGAGCGAGCTCAGCATGTCAGAAGGTGGGCAGCGCCACGGGTAGAGTGAGAGTGCAGAGGGAGAGGCTCCCGCAGGGCACTTTGGGACACTCAGCTTACACATTTGAAACCGCTGTGTCTCAAAGACACAGTCGTCGGCAAGGTGTCCTGTCCTGTGCGTCCATCTTTGCTTTCTTCTCAACTTCAGTGCAGATGGTGGAGTTGATCTTGTCCTCCTCACCAGCCATCTTACCTTTTAGGCCACGTGCCCACCTCTTGCTTCTGTTTATTCCCTTGGACCTCCATCCTCCTCTCCCTGTCACGGGCCACCATGCTCATGCGTCATAATATCTTTCTGGTTACATGAGCTCTTCAAGTTCAGGGTGCATTTATTATTATTGTCATCATCATCACTGTTTTTTTTCAGTATTGGGGATTGAACCCTGGGTGCTCTACCCCTGAGCCACATCTTCAGCATCCCCGCTTCTTCTTCTTTTTTTTTTTTTTTCCTTTTGAGTCAAAGACCCACTAAGTTGGTGAGGGTCTTCTTTAGTTGCTCACTTCGAACCTGAGATCCTCCTGCCTCAGCCTCTCAGATTKCGGGGACTACAGGTGTGCACTACCACCCTCAGCTCCATTTTTTTCTTGAAGTATAAGAACATCAATTGCCCATGTATTAGGTAGTTTAAATTGATACTCTCTTCAATTTCTTTATTTTATTTTGTACAGTTTTTACTGCTCTCCTTTTACTTCACTAATCTTTCTTCTCCAGTGCTTCATCTGACCTGAATCCCATACAGCTGGGTTATTAAGATGATGCTGATGCTGATGATCTTAGACACTGTACTTTTTATCTTTCCACAAGTTCTGCTTGAGCTTTGTGTGGTTTRTGTGCCTACTCACTTTTGAACACAGCACGCAGTTGTGGTGCGTGTCAGTGCCTGGTCTACTCCACGTCTGTCAGTTCTGGGTAGGTTTTCTGCCTGTCTGCCTCCTGCTCATCTCTCTGGGTCAGACATCATGCCTTGGTCTTTATCCCTGTGAGTCTTCCTGAGCGTTGTTCTGGACTCCAGCTAGACTACTTGGGGACAGTTTGATCCTTCTGGGTCTGGCGTTCACGATTCCTATGGTGTCCACAGGAGTTCTCGGTGTAGGGCTGAGCTTCCGGAGTCTCCACCCAGGGCCTGTGGGTGGTTTTCCAGGCCGGGCTCCCTCAGGTGATTCTTCTGACGAGTTCCCTGCTGAGTGCTCAAGAGGGGTTTCGGTGGTGGTGTGCTAGTCCTGAGGTTGGGATTCACTAACACGTAGAGCTAAGTTCTCCCAGATAAAGCTTTGGCTTCCTCATTTAGGTTTTCACGTATAGGAGTCTTATGTGCACACTTGAAGAATTTTCTATTTGCAGGTTGTTGTTTTTTCCGCCTTCAGCCCAGTAATTAGTTTGAAAGGTATTCTTGGACTAGTTAGCTTTCCATCACCGCAATGAAATACCGAAGGCAGCTAACTTACAAAGACAAAAAGTTGACCTGGGTTCATGGTTCTACATCAGGTGGCCCTGTTAGTATAGCCTCTGGCAGTGGTGGCACATCATAGCAAGAGCAGGTAATAGAGCCAACCACTGACAGCATGACCCAGGAATTGGAGAGAAAGGAAGAAGAAGAGACCCGGGTCCCTCAGTCCTTTTAAGGCATGCCCCCATGACGTCAGGACCTCCCACAAGGCCCCACCTGTCAAATGTTCTGCCACCTTCCAGTAGTGTCCCCTGGGGACCATTGAGCACATGGGCCTTTGGGGTGACTCAGCCACACCTCAGCGATTATTATTTTTCTCCCCCTCCCCACCTCAGAAAAGGCAGCATCTGTCTACTGGGAAAGGCATTTAAATCAAGAATATCCGGTGAGGAGAAACCTCTTCCACCCTGGTGTCTGGTCTCCAGGCTGGCCACGCCCTTCCCGTGCCCTCCAGTGCCTAGACAGGCAGGAACAGACGCATCCYACAGTGTCGCCCAGACATGGCGTAGCCCATCTTGCCTTCCTCGTGTCGTTACCAGTACATCCTGGGTGCTCGCAGATCACTGAGTCGTGACTACTCGCAGCCCTGTGCCACGGCTTTGGGGCCSTCCGCTGTGTTGGCTGCTTGGCGAGGATGTGCTTGTCCCAAGGTCCCTCCTCCCTTCCCAGTCACCCTTTGGCTGCTCTGCTCTTCCCACTTGCCTCCTGTCTGTCGTCTCCTCGTGTACCTTTCTCCTCGTTTGTGGCTCCTGTTGCTCTCCTTCAATACGTTTTTGCTGTGGAAATCTGCTCCCAGTTGTCCTGAGCCCCACCGAGACCATCTTCAGATCAACATCTTACTAGCAGCTGGGCATTAGTACTTGTAGGTTCACTGTGTCATGGTCACCCACAGCTCAGGTCCCACTGCTGAGTGTGTGTCAGTTGGGTCCTATTCATGCATATTTGGGACTTGGGAGGCTAAGGCAGGAAGACCACCAGTTTGAGGCCAGCCTCAGCAACTTATCGAGGCCCTAAGCAATTCAGCAAGACTTTGTCTCAAAAAAATAAAAATAAAAAGGGCTGGGGATGTGGCTCAGTGGTTAGGCATCCCCAGGTTTAATCCCTAGTGCCAAAAAAAAAAGGGTGTTCCTCCCCAGGTTTCTAAATTCCTGTGGAACTTTTCCTAAATATACRTAGGTGTCTTGACTTTAGGTCATAAACCTAGCAGCGCCCAACTAATTCATAAAGTGCTTCTCCCCGAGTGTGGGCTGGAACAGTGACACACTGTGCTCTGCCCCAGGTGCCGTTGTGACCATCACCACCCCTGTGAACATGAACGTGGACAGCCTCCAGTCCCTGTCCTCAGATGGGGCCACCCTGGCCGTGCAACAGGTCATGATGGCCGGGCAGAGTGAGGACGAGTCTGTGGACAGCACAGAGGACGACGGGGGTGCCCTGGCCCCCACCCACATCGGCGGGCTGGTGCTGGAGAACAGCGACTCCCTGCAGTAGGAGCAGGCGCACCAGCTCGGGAGCCGGCACACCTGACTTTTTATAGTTTGCACAGCAAACATTTTACACAGTTTTATTTCTAATATGTTTTATATGTAGATATAGAAGAGTGCACTTTTGTATTTCATAGTAAGCTTAAAGAGCGTCTTTGCCAGTGCAGCGACTTCTTTCAGATGTGTGTGTGGGTTTTTAAAGAAATTCTTTAAAGGTTTAACGCTAGAAATGTGATGAATGACCCCCTGCCCCAAGTTTCTGATTAGATAAAGGAGTAGTGCTGCCATTTTCTAAAAGAATTCTTCAGTTGTAATTCCGTTCTGTGGTTACTAGCAGGTCTTGGGGCTGCTCCGTTTGTGCAGCCCACGGACCTGAGAGAAGCTCTGCCTGAGACTGCCTTGTGCGGAGCAAGAACACTCAGCCGACTACGTGTGGTTTCAGAGTGAGTGGATGGCAATTTCAGCAAGTTTAAGTTCTCTCATGGTCAGCGAGCCTGTTTCATTTGCTATATATAAAAAGAAACTCCTATTTTTACCTTGCTGGAATTATTGGATAAAAAGCTATTTTTATAAATTCGTTATGAATTGGATTATGACTATATTGAGGATAAAATTTCTAGAGAAGGAACAATATGTGATTATATTTCGATTTCGAATGTTCTGAATTGCCCAAATTGAATGACCTGCCCACAGCTAGCTACCGTTGCACGGTCTCCTGCTCCCCAGGGGGTTTACGTTTACTGCTGAAAAGAAACAGCTCTAGTGGGGTTTTGATATCTCCAGATTTGTGCTGATATGTCATGCTCAGATTGCATCTTACACTTGACCTACACAAGTGTCTAAAGGTGTGTGCTAAGTAGGACTTCAGGTAAGTGAGGTGGAGTGTAGCCCTGATCAGTTGAAAGCTCTCGCCCACGTATTCCAGTCTGATTTGAATCTGACTTCAGTTACATGGTTCCTTTACTGTGTTAACTGTATTGTTTTAGAACTTTTTTAGTCAAAATATGTTATGCATAGAACGTGTAATGTAAACTAGTGTAAAAAGTGCTCGACCCCACGGCTCAGAGCTGGGGTGCATAGGAAACATCCAGGCCGCCTTATGCAATTGGCAACATCCGCAAAGCCACGCAGTGACCTGAATTGTGACAGGTCGGGACAGCGCACCCCGTGGCTCACCTGTGGGCCTTGGTCCCTGTTGTTGGCATCCTGTCGTTGTGTGTTGCTTCAGAGTTCCCAGAGCCCTCCCACCTCACCTGATCACATGGGTGTGGGATGATTCGGGGACTTCCATTTCCTGGTGATGATAAATTAAGAGTTGGTGGCTTTTGTTCTTTGGCATGATTTGGTTTGACTTAGAAATGGAGACTTTTCCTCAGAGAGAACCAGCCACCTGCCTCATGTAGTGTCTTCTTGTCATCCTAGATGGGTGCCCAGAGCTCATCTGCTGACCAGGGCAGCTGCGGCTGGCACTGCCTCCAGTTCTTGAGATCCAGCAATGTGATTGGTTAAGGACCAAGACTACACTGAGGACACTTTTAGCTAATGCAGATTTTCCTAGAACTGACCACCCCGACTCCGCCACCCAGTTGTGTTAGAGTCAGCCATGGGGGAGTATGTCCTGGACAACCTATGTCAGCAAGAAGCACAGAGGTTTCTTTAAAACTTTTTTAAGAGCTTCAACTAAAAGAAAAACTTGATTATTAACTCTTTTGGGGAGAATAACATTTTAAAGCTGCCATGGAATTCTTTCTTTTCTTCTTATAGTGTTTTAAGTCAGGTCTGCACACACTTAAGAGATTATTTTAACTTTCCTTAAGTGCCAGCATTGCTGGACTTGGTACAACTTGGACCTTGGGAACCACCAGCCTTCTTCCTTCCTCCTGCCCTGACTCCCTGAGGCCCTCAGCTGCCCCGCTCTTTGGCAGAGCAGGGAACATATTCACAGAATGGGGACTCCTGCAGAGGGCATGGTTTCTTCCCCACAGAAACCACGGTCCCACACGTGGTGGGTTGAGTCTGAGAGGTGGGGTGAGCCATGTCTGCGCGGAGGCCTCATGTCGGGCTGCTCTAGCTGAGGGCTGAATATCCCGCTGAAGGACACCGTATACATTCTGTCCAGCTGAAATTGGTTTCCTTCACCCCTAAGCTTCACTTGCTAAGTTCAGAGGATTAGAAAGAGGGCACTTAAGGTTGTAACCTGGGTTTCCTTCACCCTTTTCATAAGAACTGAGGTTGTTTTGAGTAACTTCCATCTGGCAAGCTGTTCTGGTTCCTAAAATCACCACCCAGCTTTATGTGTTATCAGTTTGCACCTTAGAAACACTGGTTTCCTAGCCCTCGGTTGGTGGAGAGTATCTGAAAGTGCATCCACTCGAGCTTTCATTTTAAATGGTCAGACTGGATCCCAACTTGGTTCTTGTTAAATTCCTCACTGTGGTGGAGCCTTTGGAATGTGCCCGAGACACGCAGTGAGCCTGCCGATCCTGCTGTCGCTGCTGAGCAGAAGCTGGACTGGCTGCTGTACAGCAAGCTCCATCTGGCGGGCTCAGCGCTCCATTTTTAAATCCCAGATGGTCAAATCAGTATGAGCACCTGTCCAGCACGCGGAGTGGCCGTTATGGCCAAGGCCGCAGGGCGTTCTCTGGGTAACCTTGAGTGGGGGAGCAAGGGAGCTTCCTCCTGTGGACAAGTGCGGCGTGCCAGCAGGTGTGCGCTGTCCCCAAGGACATCTCTGGCTGTCGGTGACACCACTAACTCAGCAACCTGCCTTTTTTAGTTATGTTCGGTCTTTGAAACTGACAATCTTTAAAATGTGAATACTGTAACAATATGTTTTCTTGGATTGTTGTCTTTAAAAAGGATTTTTGTGAAGCAATTGATTTATCAAAGCAAAAAATTAAAAATAGAAACATGCCTTATGGATGTTTTATTTTTATAGGGTTCATGTCACCAAGAGCTGCTTCTCACACATGGTTATGTGCTGTGTAGTGATGTTCAGGGTCCGTGGTGACGCCTGCACATCTTGAAACCCAGGCTGGCTCTGACGGCCCAGATCTGTTTACATTCGCAGGCATCTTTTCTCAAATTGCTTACTTCTGCCAACCATTGTTTTCCAGGAGAAAAGCAAATAGGTTTTTTGTTGTCATTTTCCATACACTATTTTGATGTTAATGAGGAGAAAATGATTTATCCAAGAGGCAGCATGTAGCCTTCAGTCACCCACGTTATCAAACTTCACAGTGAGGCGGCTCCTGGCCACGTTCACAGGTCATAATGACACCTGATGGTTCTTCTCTCTTTTCCATAGTGTTGTGACTTCCCAATAGCTGCTGTGCTTAGAAGCTAAAGCATGTCAGCAGATTGAGGGATTTTAAAAAGTGCATCCCAAATTATGGTGTTGGTAGTGATCAAAGCAARAGCTGAGTGTGTTGTTTCAGGAAATGTTTTGATGGATTTATAGAAAATGGAGGCGCTGGGTTGCYCCAGCTCCCCAGGTGAGAGCAAGGGCATGACCACAGGCCAGCCCCACGCCCTCAGGCTACACAGGCTTTGCTTATTAAGAAGGAGAGTTTGGCTTTTGAGGTTTATTGTAGCACTGAAATGACGTGGATGATTAATGAGACTCTGCCTGAATAGACAGAGATGAGGAATGGTCTAGCAAATCCTAAGAATAAGAAATACATTTGGTTTAAAAGTTCAGTGTTTTGCATTTGGTTGAATTACGCCGACATCATAAACAACATATTAGGTTTGGCATGCAGCCCTTCTGTGTACTCCAGGAAGGCCTTGGTACAAAGCACCTTCGCCCTCAGACARTTAGGTCTTTCTGCCTGCACCAAGACCTGGGGTCAGTATGCCACCTTATACTATGACGTACACATCCACAGAGCGGGGGCCCCCCCCCCCCGGCACCGTGCTGAGAGGGACATGCTGGCCTGAAGGCCAACTGCCCACTAGAGTCTAAGCTAATGTTTCTGCCTCCTCCACAGAGTGGCTCCAACTGCTCCTCCCGCCAGGCCTCTTCCAGCTCTGAGGGACAAGCTCGGCCTGGCTGTCCCCTGGTGAGTGCTTGGTGTACAGTGATCAGAATCTGTCCTCGGGCAATCATTACCACTCTTTGTCTTGTTCTTTGAATGGACCCAAGAATTCTGCCATGTACAAACCAACAGTGGCTTTAACATAAGTTAGAGATTCTTCCAGCATGTTTGGAGAGCACCATTTTAAGGGTAGTAATGGCTACTTTCAGAAAATGCTCATAGAAAAATCATTGTAATGGAAGAGGAACTTTAAAATAGGTTGCTTATGTTAACTCCGTTTTCTCCTGTCGTCTAGCAGTCCKATCCAGAGGTAAGCTCTGATCCTCTTCCTAGATTCTGCTGCCTCGTCTGTTAGTGGAGGCTGCCCTGTCAGTAGAGCTGGAGGAGGGCTCAGCTTGATTGTGCCCTGAGGCCAATCAAGGATAGGAGTGGCCCGCAAGAGGACCTGGTACGGGGACTGTGCTGGGAGGCCAGAGAGGCGACTTAGGCTTAGGTGGAGCAGGTTCAGAGAAAGGGATAGGGCAGAAGCCAGGTGCCATGGGTTCCCTGGGGAGTGACTGGAGCTAGTGGGAAATGATATGGGAGATCCCCTCTGTTACCCAGGGCAAGGAAGACCTTCTTTAAGACCCCAGATGCACMTGTGCCAGGACAAGCCTTGGTAGTTGGGGCCAAATGAGATCTAAGGATTGTTCTGTGCACTGAAGGACACCATGGGTTGACAGGTGAGAATCGAAAAAGGCATCTTTCTCTTTCCTCCTTTTTTTTGTGCTTATTGTTTTTATTTGTTCTTTTTGGATCTCTTTCTTCCTTTTTTAATATATAAATCTGGCAATTAGTTATGGGAGGATTCCTCCAAATCAATAAGCAGAAGATTAGAAATCGGTAGTAAAACAGCGGGCTGTTAATAGACGGCACTGAAGGGAAAGCGGATGGCAGCGTGCAGAGTGCCCGTCCCCACCAGCGCCCTGGACACCCAGATGGGAACCACAGCACACCACGACCTCTGTCAGGCAGCTTCTGGCCCAGCGCACGGGTGGAGCTTCGCCGAGGTGAGAACTGCAGCATGGGACAGCCGGAGGGGCTGCGTGCCCTGGTCCTGACCCTTGGCCGTGGTCATGCAGAGATCTGAGAGAGGCGCTGCTGCAGCCCTTGGTGACAGATGCGGCAGCCAGGCACCATGCCCCATAGAGTGTAAGCAAAGTCGGTGCTGCTGCAGATGACCTTTGGCTTCTGGGTTGGGGCACCTGGGTGACAGGGCAGCTATTCTTGGGTCTAGTTCTGTTGGCGGCTGTATTCCTTGGTCGTGGGTTGACTTTTCTTTGTCACCTGCCTCATGCCTCTTGAGGGCTAGATATTTTTTTGTAGGATGGTATAGAGACCAAGGTAAATGGTCCTCATGCCCAGCAGTGGTCACGCCCCTCTGGGCAGGCTGCGAGTGGTCTGTTTGCCGGTTGGTTGCTGGCTGTAGGTCTGGGTGTTGTTTTCCTCACTTGCAGCACCAGGTCCTCCAGTCCTCCAGCTGTGGCCGCAGCTGGTCTATGCTCAGTCTGGGGCCCCAGGGGATTTTTCCATGTTGCTGCCCTGCTCCAGAAGGGCATACACRTGCCACCATGTGGCATCTCTGTTCTTGGCCCCACCCCAGCAGAAGGGTGACACAGTTCTGGGTTCTCTTTGGCCTCAGTCATAGGCAGGCTTCGTCCCCGTGGGGCGAAGCTCATGCCCACTCCTGCCTCTGCTCCCACAGCTTGCCTGACATCTGGGCAGCACTAGAGCTGGGAAGTACCYGGGGCAGGACACCTGTGGGTCTGACAGGTGCTGTTCCTCCGGGGCRATACACCCTGAGTGTCCCTGGGTCCCCGCGAGTTCTCCGCCTCACCCACAGCCACCACCACTCACTGTTGAGCGTTTCTTGGCATCTGAGGTGCCTGGGCTGTCTGCTGCCCAGCCCATGGTGCTGCCCCTTCCTCCCGTGTTCTGCCCTGCGGCAGCTGAGTCCCCTCCCTCCTAGGAGGAGCTCGTCCTCTCTGGGATTTAGTCCATCAGTGGTCTTGCAGCTGTGACTGGCCCTGCCTGTCCTTGCTAAGGGGAGGTGGTGTTCTGGTGACCTTGTGCGTTACGGTGGAAGCGGAGCTGCAACAGTGGTAATTAGGTTTGAGCAGAGCAAAAAGCCGCAGAGACAGACAGCACSCTCCTGTGGAGCTGCCGAGGCTGGGCCAGCACAGGCTTCCTCCAGGACGCACAGAGCTGTGCAGGCTGGGGTCYCTGCAGGATGACCCTACAGTGGGGTGCAGCCTTGGCCTGGACCCCAGGGCGCACCTGGCTCTGTGCCTCATATCCAGGAACTGAGCCTCAGGAATGTGAGGGCACAGCTGGGTTCAGAGGCCATTTTCCTCAGGAGGAGGGCGGTGCTCCCTGTCCCTGCCTGACGCCCAAGGCTGTGTGGTGAGAGACTGCTGAGGTGGCATTCCCCGCGGTGGCCACACACACAGCGCCAGCCCACACGCCCTTCAGGTGATGCCCTGCTCTTGACCAGGGCCGTGGACAGGACCAAGGAGCATGTGCCACTGTGGGACTGAGGGCTGAGGGATGCCCAAGCTCGGGCCCCAGCTGTCCAGCTGGCTTCCTTCTTGCTGGAAGGGAGCCCAGGCCAGGTGAGAGGCCGGGCCCCGCTGCCAGGCACACAGGAGTGAGCTTGCCGACCCTGGGGCTGTGGCTGGGTGGGGGTGGGGGTGGGGGTAAGCCGTTCAGAGATGGATGTGCCCTTCAGTTCTGGAAGAAAAAGCCTGATTACTGCTGAATCACAGAGGCCAGATGGAGTCCTGAGAGGACTAACTCTCAAAAGACCCCAGCAGACTGGTGCTCTCATCAACGACCTTGGGAGCCGATTACAGACCAGTGTTCCCAAGGCCCCAGGTCTCCGGGGGCCTGATTTCAAGAAGGGCCCATTTGTGGTGGTGGCCTGTGTGTCCTGCCGGGCTGCGCTGACCCGTCTTCAAGGTCGTGGTGTCCGAGCAGGCTGTCGTGTTCTGGCACCACCRACTTCGCTAGACCCGCGCTTGGCAGGCCTCTCACTTCTTTTTTAAACCAACAGCACAGATGCGGACCTTAGCTTGGCTCGTGCCATGACTGGGCATTCTGAACGTAGAGGAGTCGGTCTGGAGAAAGCAAACACAGTGCTCGACGGTGCCCTGCCAAGCCCTGCCTTGTTTGACGTCACCCTTCCCTGGCTCCTGTCAACCCCAGGACCACTCCCAGGCTCAGAGGACAGGCAGGGCCTCCCTGACATCTGAACTGGATAGTCCCCAGCTAGGGAGTGAGGCCTGGGTAATGGGGCGGGGTCSCACAGGACTGTGGGGTCCTGCGCGGTCCACAGCCCTCAGACCAAGGCAGGCAGGCAGTGCCCGGTGCCCCACAGGCTGTCCTTGGTGTCTGTGAGCCTCTGAGTTTCTGATCCTGCAGCATTGGGCCTCTGGATTCCAGCTGGCCTCCCGTCCTCCCCAGCGTGGAGGTGGGCAGTGTGTTGCTCCCTTTCCTGCTGCAGCCGCACGCCGTCCCTCTTGTATTCCTTCAGGGCAGGAACTACGGGTTCAGTAGAGCAGTGCTCCATCCTACCCACTAAGGCGGAAGACGCTGACCTGAGCCCAGTGCGGTGGCACRCGCCTCAACGCCAGCTGCTGAAGCAGGAGGACCAAGCTAAGGCCAGCCTTGGAGACTTAGCCCCATCTTGTCTTGAAATAAAATGGTGGGCTGGGGACGCAGCCCCGTGGTAAAGTATCCTTGGGTTCCATCTCTAGTACTGCAACAAAACAAAGCAAAACTGACATGTATTTCTCTTTACATATTGCAGGGATTTTTACTTAAT